TTATGATTGAACAAATAAATGTAACCCTTGTTTCGTTTTATTGTTGAAACTACCAATAAACGTCAACCTTGTACTGGCTTATATTGACAATAAGCTATACCAGGTTAATGAGTTTTCTTTACATGTCCTAATCGTTTGACTGCTTTATTATGATTCCATAAGCTCGAATCCATAATAGTATACAATGCAATATCTATATGCATATTTTTAACATTTCTTTTATTCTCGAAACAAGATGAAAAACACCACAAAATTTCTATCACAATTTCACGGCTCTTTTCAAATCGTGGGTTGCATAAGTATGATTGAAAACAAAAATATTGTACCCCTATTGTTTCGTTTTATTGTTGAAAACTACAACTAAACGTCAACCTTGTTCTGGCTTATACTTACAGTAAGCTATACAGGGTCAATGAGTTTTCTTTACATGTATTTATCGTTTGACTGCTTTATTATGAGATTCTATAAGCTCGAATCCATTGCATGTTGTTGACATTTCTTTTATTATCGAAACAAGATGAAAAACATTTCTATCACAATTTCACGACTCTTTTCAAATAGTAGGATGCAACCGTTGCATTATGATCGAAAACAAATATATCGTACGACTACATTCGTTTTATTGTCGAAAACTACAACTAAACGTCAACCTTGAACTAATTTATACTGACAATAAGCTGTATAAATATTATTAATATGGTATCATTGGGCAGAAAACAATTTACTCTTTGTCACGAAATAGATTTCAAAGTCATATTGGTGATGAATTTTAAATCAGGAGCTACCAGAGTTGGGTGAACTTTTTAATACGCACTGAAACGCACAGTTTGTACTCACCAAAATGTTGTCGAAACGAATTGTCAACAAAATTATTCCTTCGGCAACAATGTAAATATTCGCCTATACACACTAAGAAAAAATGGTGCAACTATGCACCTTTAGGGGTTCAAACCGATGCAACAATAGCAGCACCTTTAGGGGTTAAATCCTGCACCCTTTTTAAAGGTGCAATCCTGCACCCTTCAAAAGGGTGCCAGATTGAACCTTTTGGAGGAAATGTAAGTACCCTTTATGGTTCAATCCTGCACCTTTAGGGGTGCAAACCGATGCAACAATAGCAGCACATTTAGGGGTTAAATCCTGCACCCTTTAGGAGGGTGCCAGAATGCACCTTTTAGGAGACATGTTAGTACCCTTAATGGTTCAATCCTGCTCCTTTAGGGGTGCAAACCGATGCAATAGCAGCACCTTATTAAAGGGGTTCAATCCTGCACCCATCATCGAGGAATACTCGTGACATTTGCTCGTACATATACATATTAAACATGCATGATGTTTCTTGGTTAGTAATCATATAATCAATATATATATTGCTAAAACGTAAATGAAATTGTAACATGATCAGACAAAATAATCTATTGGTTAATGATTGCCGAAGGAAAATACAAATCACAAAATTGATGTGCATTGTCATAATTTGCTTAACAAATCATATGATAAATGTATTTTTATGTGAACACGTGGAAAGTAATCATGAATATGCATGCAATATGCAAACTTTTATTTTGCACCTTTTTGGGTTGTTAGGGTTCATTTTTGTGGGAAGGGTGCAAAATCTTATATTGCACCCTTTTTTGAACCCCTTTTCCTTCAATAGGGTTCATTTTTATGTAAAGGGTGCAAACTCTTATTTTGCACCCTTTTTGCACCCTTTTTTCTTAGAGTGTACAGTGCGTCCCAGAAAAACGAAACCGAGAATTATCGATGTTTTATCATAACTTAATCACAATTATAATTAATAAATGACACATAATTATTTGTAAAGCTTAGATCCTCTTCTTTCATTTGATGATGCAACTCATGATGCATATTTCACGCATGAGTGATCAAAAACAACTTGAAGAGAGAGTACCAACAAGTCATTTGGCGGGCGGTATCTGAATTTCAAAGAGAAAATCACATTTCTAGAAAGTTCTTTTTTGCTTTTTCATATGACAGGATATGGTTTGTTTAAAATTATGCATGCTTTTCCATAACTTGATAACACGATTTCGTTTTCACTGGCTGCCTGCCGTAGCAACAGAGTTGACAAAAGACTTTTTTAAATGAACTTTCTAAAATATGATTTTCTCTTATTTTTTTTGTTGTATTTACAACACTTTCTATATTAGTGGCGCAAAATAAAACTTACCCCCTTCTTCCCCCGGTCTGGCCATGGGGGCTAGAAAAATACCCCCTTAACGCAAATGACCCCTAATAATGGGTAGGGGTTTCGAGACTTAGGCGGCACACCCCCGTCCAAACCAAATCTGAGTATCCCCCCCCCCCCCCGGGATGCTAACAGTATTATATTTGACTGAGAGCCCCGGGCATTATGTTCTTCTATAATTTCATCCAGAGTTGGTATCGGCATGGTAGCGACGTGGTACAATGGAACCAAAAGAATCGACGTGAAGGAACTTCTTTCTAGCGATGGGAAATTGACAGAGTCCATCGACGGTTCGCTCGTCATCGCCGATGTGCAGAGGCTTCAGGCAGGGAGATACGAATGTCGGGTCGACGGCCAGACCAGAGCTGTCTACAGGGTCGTTGGTAGGTCCATGGTGGATCTTTTTTTTTTGTCCATTGGTTGAGTAGGGGGGGGGGGGGGGGGACAGTTCCGAAGCAAAATGATGATGTGTACTCAAGTTTGCTTGGTTGGGGGGGGGGGGGGGTGGCACGGGCCGATTGAACCCCTTAAAAGCATGCACCAATGAAGACGTTCGTTCAAACAGAATTTTGTGGAAAATGGCTTTGCAGGATATCATGTGTTTTTTATAACGCCTTTTTTGTCTTTGATGTCGTATAATAATGAAACGCTTCTCCTTTTCTCCTTCCTGCTTTCAGTGTTATTTTTTTTTGTAATCCACACTTCCAATATTTGTTTATATCCAAGTCATTTATTCATCTCGTTCTCCCTCCTTTTGTCTACGTCATGCCGTTTAATATTTGTTTGGAAAGCGGATAAAATTTGTTTTATTTTGGTAATTTTATTATCAAACATGATATATTTTCTCTCTCTCTCTCTCTCTCTCTCCTCTTCCCCTTGTAGTCATTGCCAGTTTAGCTGCCACTCAAGAAGGTGAGGATAAAGCTCTTTGTACATAGACCACTTTTAGTTGAGGATTTCCTTCAGCTATGATAACAACAACAAAAATTAACCTAAAACAGTTTCAATAGCCTCGTACTTGTGTTACCCATTACAATTTGCAAACATGACAATGACGTATTCAATAATCCGAATTGTATATGATTTCTATGGGACATACAATAGGGAATTGAAATTGCCCTTGTATTGAGTAGATATTTCGAGAATAGATGAGATCGTGTCAACATCAAACAAATATAAAATCAACAACATAATGACAAAGTAAAAAAACACAGATCCCTATAGGCCGAATATGGAATCGCATGATGTAAGTTTTCATTTACACTACATGTTTGGTTGTTGTTTTGGCTTCAGTAATTAAGGTCATATTTATAAAAAGTTTCTCATCGTTCTTGATGTATTTTTTATTTTTTTTTATCTGTATGGTTGTCGAGGTTGTTGTTGATGCTGTCGGTTGCTGTTGCAGTTGTTGTTTATGTTATTGTTAAAGTCATTGGAATCCGTTTATAAGATCTGTCTAAATATCTTTCATTCTCGATAAATAATAAGGATCTACATTGTTTGGTGTGTTTCTTCGGCAGATATTTTGAAATCCATAGTGATTCTGGCAGGCGTTCTCGCGGGATACTTCGTCTTGTTTGTGATCATACTTGTATCGAAATATTGCATAAGGATGTGCGCTAAAAAGAAGAGACGGAGATGATGCTCGTTCGAAACTAACTGGTCTTGGAGACGAATTACCGTCGTAGACATGAGATGGTGGGGAAGGCGCAGTGCTGGGTGAGAAGATGATGATGATGATGATTCACAGCATTTGTATAGCGCCATATATCTGTTTCAAAAAACATTCAAAGGCGCGAGCTACTCCAATAAAGTTAGCATTTAAATGTCTTGAGGAAGATGTGAGGTTTGAGTGAAGCTTTGAAGTGGTCAAGGTTGTCAATTTCGCGAATAGATGATGGGAGGGAATTCCACAGGCGAGGAGCAATAGAGGAAAATGCTCGGTCTCCATATCCCTTGAGATGAGTAATGGGCATTTGGAGAGTAAGGCCAGATGAGCGAAGTCCAGGGCGAAGATGACGCCGCTCGATTAAAAATGACACAATATCCAGGAGCCCACAGCGCCTAGTCTGCAGCCAGGAACTGACAATTTGACATTTAGCCACAATTTCCAAAACATTGATTAAGGCCTAGCTCTGTCATTCTCTGGCTGTGTCAAAGAAGAGAAGTACAATGAGGTGTTTCATGAATTGATTTCGATTTTAAAAATCAATTTTAAGGCCGAAAACTGATACTTGCGAACAGTTTCATAAAATCTATTTTAAGCTAAAATCTATTTTATTTTTTGGATGAAACAGGGCCTACAATCGCAATCAATTTTAGGCCTTTAAAATCGATCGGATCGATTTGCAGATCGTTTTGTTAAGGCTTGATGAAATACCGCCCCCCCCCCCCCCTGAGCTTACGATGTGTTCCACTAACATGCAGTAGGTTCACAGTGCAGACTGCTACGCACAACGATACCCCCCTCCCCCCCCCCCCCATTTCTTCTCTATATCACTGAAAATACCTTTAATTATTTCAGAAGTTGACTCCTGCACTGGCAGTTATGTCATTAAAAAAGGGGTTACTGTGTAATGTGTTGTTGTAGCCTTTCTAATTGTTATATTACTGTCAAGTATTAACCTCAACTTGTACCGAAATTAGGAAAGTCAGTTATGTATTAACCTCAACTTGTACCGAAATTAGGAAAGTCAGTTATTACAAGTATCGACGATATCCTGTACATGTAGTTCTACAGGTGTATATAAATTACACAGAGACTATAACAAATATTCAGTCAACTCTTGTATGTTTTTTGCATTGATTTTATTTATGCATTGCCACTGCAGCCTGGTAAAACATATTCTTCTTTAGATATATATACAAATAATATACATGTACATGAAAATTATTATCATACATGTATGTAAGTTTGAGCAATTCACGTCTAGAACAATGGTTACCGCTTCACATTATTTGTTACAGATTCTACATCTTTATGTACGTATGTCAAATTTTCTTGCAATAAAATTGATTTTCAATCCAGTTGCTCTCTTCTGTTGTTCATGTTTTTATTAATATTTAATCAGAAATGGAAAGTGTTACCATCTTAGATTTAAAAACAAACAAACAAATAAACAAAAATGCCCCGTGCATAGAAATTCTCCTCCTACAAGAATTTGTTTTTCTAGATATGTAACTAGTACTGACAATTCTTTATTGAAGGGAACTTAAATATAATGCATACTAATGGGGGCCTGCCTTCTTTTAGATGACTCCATAACATGCATCTACCTGTACATGTGGGAGGGCAAGGCCAAGGTATTTCAAGATAAAAAGAATTAAAAGATGACATTTCTGACACATGTATTTGTACGATAACGGTTCCCTCATTGTTTTGTTATGATAACAAGATGTGAAATTCTTATAGAAGGCCAGGAATGATCCGTAGAATGATATTGACCTAATGATAACAAAGTTACAATTTTTTAATACAAATAAATAAAACCTCCAACTTATACCAGTGGTGCCAATTAAGAATTCCAAAAAAATACTCACATGTAAAATCAAAGTAGAGTGTCACTATCATGAACACACAGTGTAAGACAAATAACTATTAAAAATAAACTCTTGAGGTTTTTCTTGCTTTAGAATAATGAATTAAGAAATTATACAAGAAATAAATATAAATCTGAATGGAAATTGACAATGATCTGTAATTCGTATCTGGTGCAATTGGTGCTCTTGTTCAGCCTACATGAGAAGCCAAATAAATATGAACACACTTTTCAAAGAGAACCTGAAAGAAATGACACATTCGATTTGTATACAAGGTTTCAAACTACATGTACTACATGTATGCAAGGTCTTTGATAAACTGATGTTTCAAAAGGAATTATCTTTGGACAACAATAGACATGTGAACACTTCTAAGAAGAAAACCAACAGGTAAATTCTGTAAAATTATCGTCAATATTTACTGCCACATGACCCAGCAGATTTTGATATGATATCAGACAGTTGATGAGCTCTGCCCTGAATGCTCTTGGTTAGGCTTGGCAAAGTGCCAGGAGGAAAGCACAAACAAAGTTTGGACTATACATGTACATTTACAGAGTACAGTACATTTACATTGTACAGTGTATGTAGCCAACATGTAAAGGTACATGTACATGCCCAAATTATAATTAATACCCCGGTAAATTGATATTTGACACTCAATGGTCAGTCCAGGTCAAGTTTACCCAGGAAATTAAACCAACGTCAACAAATACATTGACCGGATTTAAATTGTTACACCCTGTAAGTGGTACCGCACTACACTGGTAGAAAACAAATACTGGTCAAAGAATACCGCTCAAGGTTTCTCATAAACATGCAAACCAATACCAAGTGTATGTAGATTCATTGAGAAGTACAGGCCGTGTTGTCTTGAGGTCAAATGAATTATCAAATCAATAATAAGAACAATAACCGGTCAAGTTGGTCAACCTACAGAGACTTTTATAAAAGCTTTCAATAGGTGAAGAAGGTCAAGTGAACACAGCTTCCTTTTATCTCTCGTCTACATAAACGCAAACAAGATAAATGTATCAAGTTCTAATATAAGGGTATTATGGCCCATCCAAGCATAAGATCAATATAATTAATGCCCTACACATGTACATGTACCTGTAGTGTACTTCACATGCATCAAATGTACATACATGTAGTATTCATTTACAACCATTGAAATCCTCTAGCTTTTGTTCAAGCTTTAATGACATGTATGTACATGTACACATACTGTAGCACACACTGCAACGCATGTGCAAAGGTACTGATTAAGAATACACAAGAATGAAACCAGTATTTCCTCCTTGTTTCTTGAAAACAATATGGGGATAGATTATGTATTGAACACATCAATGGCAGATCCAGGAAATGATTTTGGCATGATTACCATGGTACAAGAAAGTTGGCTTGGAACATAAGGGCAGCCCTACAACAGTTGGAGCAAATGGCCTTCAAAAGTACAATTTTTATTCTCTCCCCCCCCCCCCCCCAATCATTAGCACAAAAGTTATGGTATATCAATTTGCAATGTCTGCTAACTCTGCTCACATGATCATCCAATCATGTAGAATATATTTATGTACATTTAATTGTATGTACAATGAAAATGAGGCTGAGTTTAGAAGAGGAGTTGTCCATAGTTACATGTACAGTACATGTAGTTATGAGTTGGCTGAGGCAGTCTGTAATGCAAGGTACATGTATTCACTAAAAGGTATCCAGGGTGTCTCCAAATGAATTGATCCACTGTCAACTTTCAAAAGTGCAAAGATTCCTGTCCATGCTTAGCACCAAAAACTGCAACGTCAGGCTTTATATCTAATCTGACTTGAGCGAAAGGTAAAATGCATGAAGTCATTGTAAACAGGTTGCAGATAAATAGGCAGGGAGTTCTTTCCCAGTGTTTGAATGTTCACCATCATTCTGTTATCAAAACTCTTTGGCAGAATGTACACACACATCAGTTAGCTTTAGGCAGTGGGACTGTGAAGAGCTTAAACTTTAAACCAGGGGGATGTGCTGATAACCAATCACAAGCAAGGATTTCAGTAGCTTATAACAAAAACTGTCATTTGTCACTGATGACAAGTTTTGTGAAACGTCCCCCAGGATCTTCGCTGGTAACCAGCTCCCGCTTTTTCTCACAGACACTGCATGTTGCTCCTGAAGAAACTTTGGATGATGATGGTGACATCTTTAGGCTTCATCCCCCACGGATGAAACCCCCGCCGCAGATCATCTTGCTGCTATGGCAACCTGCAGATACTGATCCTGATACGGCTTGTACTCTATGAGTCTCCTTGATGCCTCCTCCACAGAAAACCACCTTCGACATCGCCCTGGAGTGTAAATCGGGTGCAGAAACAAACGAATGAATAAAAGATAAATAACTTGATGCTATGTTGTTGGCACTGCCAATGTGTGCCATATCAAGAAGTTGAATATACGTCTTGTTTATTCATCTAACCTTCTCAAGTTTAGGAGGAAATCAAGGAGAGTGGTACTGGTCAATAATTCTCATTCTTGATCTTCCAAAGAACTGAACTTTTGAGGCCTACTGGGAGTGTACAGAAAACAGAAGAAGAAGAGGATCCCTTAACAGGGGAAGTGGTATCTACATGTAAACAGATATCCCATTGAGTCAAGAAAACTTGATTGAGCGATAAAGTGATTTATTTATTTATATGCATTTATATGCATTTATTTATTCATCTTTTTACTTACTAATCTAAATCTATTTTCTCTGATTGATTGATTGATTGATCATTCATCCATGCATTCATCTATTCATTTACTTATTCATTCATTCATTCATAAAACACACATCACTCGCTCGAGTGACAATTATGACTATTATGTAACCACGAACCTGTACCGGTATTCATTGTGTATCAATTATATTTCCCGGATTCATCTTTTTTCATTGCATTGTAATTCTTTATACAATCATTGGTACATGTATATGGGAACCTATATTGTACAAGCATTGCTTTTTAATAGGTTCCTCATACATGTATTTCACGTAACCGATTATTTACTGCATCATAGTTTTTGGCATTATGCTTTATCTTGCTGACCTTATACATGTACATGTAAATTGTTATTTTGTGGAATGTGAAACAATAAAAACAAAAAAACAAACAAAAACATAAGACATGGAGGTAGATCTTTGAACATCGCTTACCTATCCTTTCTCGATCTTCCCACGAATCAAACTCTTCTGTAACTACTGAAGCAAACACCGACGTTCTGTGCTTGTTGGATGCATCTACAAAGTTACCCACAAAGTTCACCAATCTCGAACTCACGCCCGCCTGCAAAGAAGGACAAAATGGGAAGAAAATATCTATTAAAGGATTTTGTTCGATCTTCTGATCAGGAGACAAGTTGCGAAGGCATGCATGCATACTTTACCTGAATGTAGGATGACATTTCTGGTCTTGAGTGATTTATTGTCTTATTATGGCAGCTCAACTAAAAAGTGTACATGTGCAACTGGGATAATAATATACCGGTAATACTACATGTATGCATTACTGTAAGTGCAGTGGAGTATATTTGTATGAAGCTGCAACTATATAAATTATAGATGGCAAAAAAATGTTATCATCATCATAATCTTAATTTCTACAGGTACCTGATTTGTGTAGACATGAATCAATGCTTCTTGATATTTTATTTACAAAATGTATATGACTATCAAACATCTCTAAACTACTAAACACTTTTAAATGTTGCTACACTGTAAGTTGCTGTAAAATTAAAAACAACAAAAATTACAATATTAGACTGGTGTACATGTACATGTATAATGTATTATGATATCCCATTTTTTGATGATTGTCAACAATTTCTAGCTTCTTTTGAAGGACAAAAAATAAACTTAATGTACAATGTAAACAGTTAAAATGTATTTTTTTTTCTAAATGGTAGATTTTGTTATGATTTGAAATGAGAAATAGCTCAGCTTAATGAAAAACTTTATCACACAAATTCATCATAAGGTGAAGCAAAATATGTCAAAAAGAAAGCTTTCCAACAGAAAATTGCAGCTCTGTACAACAGTAGCTGCTAACAAATCAATATTCATTAGCTCCTTCGCTGACAGCCAATCAAAAGATTCGCCTTATGAATAATGCATATCTATGCAGCAAAGAATGATTATCCGACGGTTCTTTGCCGTAGTCTAAATATCAGGGGGTAGAATCGGTGGATAGATGAATACACAAGCTCTTCATTCAGCGAGCACACAAAAGATATAGCAAAATACACACGGGCATCCCCATAGAGCACTGTAGCAAGACTAGTCATAACACTTGCTGTGCATGTGATCGCCATGTGGGTAAGCAAGTGATGTACACAAAGCAAGTGCGCATGTCCATAGTATTCCCGTCATACGTCATCTCTCTCCCAGGTAGCACTATAACCGGGGGATCCCAACCTATTGCACTAAATGGTTCTAGATCCGTGATTTCATAACAGGGGATTTTCCCTCATAGCAATAACAAAGGAAAGAGTAACATCTTCATTTTGAACTGGCGATCAGATATCTTGACCAATAAATAATCAAATAACTTGGTTCAATAGTTACATTTTTAATGTTACTTCATGAATGTCGATTAGCATTTAATGGTATTTTCTGGTTCCATTTATCCTTTCAATGTTGAAAATTCACATTTGATTGTTATTGATTTACTTTTTGTTTGGATAATAAAACTTCAAACTAAAATTCAACTCAATGTAAATTTTGTTTAAAGGTTTCACTCAGAACAGAATTGGACTTTTTATTTTTGTTATAGTTTGTATTATATCCTGCATCAAAAATTTGTTGGCTTTTGATTGGTTGAGAGCTCATCACATGACCAAAAATATTTGAGCTATTTTTAGAAAGTACTATATGAGAGTACTATTTTGGTTTACTATTTGGGAGTTGAAAAAAAATTGTGAATTTTTTTTTTAATTGAATCAATTTTTTTCTTCAAATCTTTATTTAATGAAAACAAAATATTTTACTCAATTTTTTTTTTTTTTTTTTTTTTTAAATAATTTTTTGATGCAGGATATAAAACAAATATACCATGCCTTCTATTCGAGGTACTGGTTAAACTATGGGCCTCGGTGACTCCAAAAGTACCATTTGCTTCGGGGCTGCGCCCCTCAGCAAATAGTACTGTAATAACTTTTGGGAATTCTTTTATAAGAAAATGGGGAATTTAAAGACTGCAGGGGTAGATGTTTAGTCTAGCCTAAATTAATGCTCACGCAAGGCCAGGGCCAAGTCATACACACATACAATTACAGTCTCTGAGAGAAAGGAGTTATCGATCAATGATTTTTAAGTAACTGATGTTTATTCACAAGAAACATGGTGGTGATATCCAATATATTTACTTGCCACAACCTAATAACAGTTACACTTAACTCACATTTATACTAGTTCTTGCCCTTTGGCTAATTGATGATGCTCCCGAGCAACATCCTCCCAGCTCCTAACTCTTCAGTTCTCACAAAATCTGTCTGTCTTCAAACTACCTCGGCCTCAGCTCCAAACTTTTACACACTCCCAAAAACCTCGCCCAAATTAAAGCTAGTCTCCAATTCAGACCTCCCTTTTTAATCGTTCGAGCATCCAATTTCTGTAACACTGCCCCCTCCTTAACTTTGAACGTCTCGTTCAACACTAGGAACTTCAAAACAGGAACCTGTCAGTAAAACAACAATAAGATAACAAGAAATGTAAAATACTAAATCTAAAAATAACAACATCATTAAAAATATGAAGCATTAAAAATGTGAAGCATGGAAAACACAGAATAGGAAAACCTGAAAGAAATCATCATAATTTCTAAAGTAGCACATTAGCATGGCACAGTCATTTATAAACATACATAAATTACCTTTGTTTCAGCCTCACAAAACAATTCTTAGGTTGTGGCGAATGCATACATAAAAGCACTTGCAAAATGAGACAAAGCATGCAGCATATGCATCTTACCTGATATCATTGATCGTAAATTTCAAATATCAATACAATAAACTGGACTTCAACTCTCAGTATACCAGAACAAAATACATCATACATGAATATAATTGTTGTTCCACATCAGTCTGGTGACTCTGGTCAACATGTTCAGCCTGTTGCACACTTAAGTAATAATCACTATAGAACAAAAAAAAAACTGGATATAAACAAAAACACTTTTTTTTTTTTTTCAATATCACCTTTAAATATGGCAAAAGTTAAAGGTTATTCTGGTATAACCATCAAGTTTGGTATTCGTCCTCTTTGGTAACAACAAATGGGATATCTCGATTCATTTTAAACTGGTTTGGTTAGCAAAATTAGAGTTGCCAACAACACATAAGTACAACCCTGGAAAAAAAACATAACAATACTCTGAATTTATATGCCAAAGCGGAAACACTCATTTCAACTGCCAATATAAAAGAATTTATACAAAACAAAATTGTTTTTACAAAATAACCTGATCTTGTAAAAACATGATCATGCATGATTGTCCATAGATTTCAAAATGACTTTAAGTCATTAGAAAGAAAAAAAGGGCAAAGCGTCCATTTGCTATTATCTGTTCTTACAGAACGGCACGAAATGCCACAAATCAATTCCACATTTCGAGTTCAGGTGAGTAAATCGCTCATCTGTGATTACACCTAATGCAAGAAAGCCACTTCAGTATTCTCATTCTTTCTACTCTCTTTGATAAATCATAGTAATGTAATTCCTACAAGTCCTCCTTTATAAGAACACTTAACAATTGTGTTCCTCTTCACAAGTTCAATATTGAGGAATGCTAATAACACCAAAATGTTGGTCCCTCAGTTCTACTTTCGACTGGTTCATTCGAAAAGTTCAGCAGCACAATGGAATAAGTGTCTGACTCCTTAAGTTCATTTGCATCTTCAAAGTTGCTTCAGCTAAATGGAGTCCTGTCATCACTCATGGTGACCAATTATTTGTTTCTCTAATCAATGCAAATAGATGAAATTCCACTAATAGTCCATGCAAGTGTTCACTATAAAAGCTTTCAAAGTTTGATGGATTTCGTAAGGCTGCATAAAATTGCATGGCATTTAATATAAAAATTGTTCACCGTTATAAACACGAACCGCGTTACCATGGAGACCAGATACGCTCATCCGACACGCGTTGCCATGGAGACCAGATTCGCTCATCCGACACGCGTTGCCATGGAGACCAGATTCGCTCATCCGACACGCGTTGCCATGGAGACCAGATACGCTCATCCGACACGTGTGAAGATACTTTGGGACGGCATCCCGGCGTCTTGCGGTACTGGCATCTCGCGTCCTGGCTTGAAGCTTCCTCGGTAAGGTACCTCACTATCTGCTCGTCAGGCCTCAGCTACGTGATGGAGAAAATCTGCCATCCAATTCTGGCTTCCAAGTAGATATTTCTGCAACAAAATAACATCTTTTGCAGAAAAAGGTGTACCAGAGTGGTACAACCATATATGCGTATATTAGGTATACACATGCAGAAAATTGGCTTTTATGTAAATAGCCATAATAAGAGAAAATGCAACTAACTAGGTTGTGGCAATATTATTATAAAAACTTATTGTAATCTCAATATACAAAAAACAAAACAATTCTGCCATATTTGTTTCATAAGCAGTTACACAGCAACTTCACTGAAAACTTCCCACACAGAACTGTGCTGTATCCCTGCTGGAAGCAGGTACTGACTTTCAAGCACTCTAGCTCTGCTAATGTGAAAAGAACCAGCTAGTCGTAAGCATAACCATTAAAACCTAACAAACAAGGAATTTAATGAAAACCAAGTCCTTAACCATAGCAATATCCTCGATTACAAATAATAATCCATAACTATGTATAAATGTAACCCACTACAATTATAGACAATGTGATAACCGTGATACACAGCTGTCAAAGTTACCAGCTAATCCCAACCATATCTATTGGGAGACTAATTCCTTTGACGATGCTGATGCTCGTGACTGTTTTCTCTCGAGGGTTCTTCATCCAGAGCATCGTCAGGTTGACACACTTGATATTTCTCGCTGAGCTTGGGATGCTCCTGATTACTAGTTTGTGTTGCTACAGCGATAAAAGAACAGTTATCATCACTTACATGGAACCAGGGCTCCTTCTGTCCCTTGTACTTGCAAAGACGGTCTCTGTGAACCACTCTTGGTTTACTCCTTTTCGTCAACTGAATCCTGTAGACTGCATCGTTTATCTTCTTTAGAACAGAGTAAGGGTCTCACAAGTCTGACATCAATTTAGGTGATATACCTTTCTTCCTTCGAGG